AAAAAGGGTAAATATACATAGGTTCTTAAAACAAGTAATTGAATAATTTAATTAAGCCAAGTGTGATTAAAGTGACCGTGCTAAAACCACGGAACTCGGGAGTGTCTAACACCTTCTCCCATGTTAACAGAATTCCTTACCCGTTCTTCTGGTGTTCGCAAACTTTAACGGAGTCAAAATTTCCTGGATTTGGGATTTTAAAATAAATGGTAACTCGGAATACTATAAATAATTAATTTCGAATGATGACTCTTAAATAAGTAAATAATCTCATTTCGATTAATATCACTTAAATAGGAAAAACTCCCTACCCCCTATCGGGAAAAAAGAGGTGTGACAGCGTGATGTGGATACGATAGTCCCAAGTAACTTTTCGTCGTCTCCCCATGCCGATTCTTGTCTGGTCAGATTTTGACCCATATAGAGATAAAGCCATCAACGATGTTTGTAAAGTGACAGCTGGTAATAGTGATTGGTGGTAGTGACTTATGGTGGCTGGTTGTGTGATGGTGACATGTGGTGGAGGTGGCTGGTGGAAGTGACTGGCAGCAGGGACAGAGCTAGGTGAGCGAAATGAGGTTCAGCCAAATCTCTTTCGTAAAAAATTACAGTATATATACAAAGTGTGTGTATATATATATACACTATGAATAAGAACATATAGCATTCTGCTAGAGAGAGTGAAGAATAGAATGTCTTTCAACAACATAAGGGAAGGGGGTGCAGGCAGAAGGAAAGAGAAAACGAGCGAAACGAAGTGGAGCGAGGGGGAGGGAGGATCTACTTGATTTTTCTCAGTCTCACTGTCCTTTTACTTACTCCTATCCTTTTAAACTGTAATTGAGACTTTTCTTTTGAAGCCGCTTTCTTTACTTCATTTCTTAGCGACTACCTGGATTTTTGGCTTTCTTTAATGTGCTTTTTATGATTACATAGGCAATAATCCAGAAAAGGGTGGATTGTTCATAGCGGACTCAATGGAGTCGCCGCGGAGCAACAACCGCGTCCGGATCTGATCTATTTACTCGGCAATTCATCCGGTGACTTCACGGTCATCAAAGAAGCCCCAAGAAGCATCAAACATTTCCGATGAGATCCAAATCTCTTTCGTAAAAAATTACAGTATATATACAAAGTATATATATATATATATATATATATATATATATAGGGGTGGATGTGTTTGGTTATAGTGAAGCCAGTTGTGGTTTTGCAATAAAGATGGGTGATAGTGATTAATGATGGTGATTGTGAGGTGATAATGAACGAAATGATGGTAAAAGATTGCTTTCACTAAAATCTTTAACTGGACAACGTCTTAATATGTTTAATTTCATGAATATGAACTACCTCACAAAATTCTTCACTAACTAGACTTGTGGGCACGGGTGTAGCCACGCTTTGCTTTGGGCAGTTAATTGACCATCCTTTGTTGGAAAATTAAATTGTGTATATAGGTAAAATATTAGGTTTTAGAGGTACATAACATATATTGAACACCTTTTGTCGGAATTTTTATTTATTTTAAGTTTGAACACCCTTGAGGATAAATTCTTGGCTTCGTCGTTGCTTGTGGGCAAGTAGTTTTTCTAGAAAAAAAAAGATTATTTTTAAAATCCTTGATATTTGTATGATGTGCATTAATTCAATTCAAAATATTCCTATCTAAAGCAATTTGGGATATTTGTCATTGTGTCGAAGGTAGTTCCAATTATTTTATTTTAAATTTAATTAAAATACTTTAATAAATCAATTTCATTTTTTAAATAATTTTAGCTAATTTAGGTGATTTTTTTGTCATATAGTAATATTGTAACTAATTCAGTTGAAATATTAATGAACCTAATAACAAGAATAAGTTCTTTTTTTTAGTAACTTTAATTATTGGAAAGTAAAGCGCATGATTAGTTTTCGTTATATTCTTGTTTTTTGGCCGGAATTGCAGATTAGTGATTGTAATTTCACTCTACACCTTGCTTGTGCATGGTTTAAAACTTGTCTAAGGGTCTTTCTCTTTCATCTCTCTCCACTAGAATTTAATCATTTATTAACGAGACAAAAAAAAAGATAGCTGGGATTTTGGGGAGCAAGGAGAGAAGTGGGAGCCACATTTTGTATTATTATAAATGTAGCCACAATAGTAGTTTGTTTCATGACCAATCACTTTGGTGAAAGTGAGGAACAACTTGATGATTACTGCTGTCATTTTATTAGTTTCTGGGCACTAGTTTTTTGGGTGGTCCATCTCCACTTGACCACATTTAAAATCTATACATAGATTGTACTGTTTTTGACCAACTTCTCGTGTCAAAATCAGCCTTGACTAAAGGTCATTATTTATAACACTCTATCATAAAAATGTGGTTCCCCTTTTTTGTCCTCATTTTATTTGGCAAAAAGTATCATTTGCTGACTTGAATAAGGTAGAATATCACGTTAATAGCTTGTTATTTATAAGTTTTCCAGTCATTTGGGTTAATAACGTGAAAGAGATTGAATGAGTTGTACTTGTTGTTTTATAGATTTTTTTTAGAGTGGACATGGAGCCGAAAATAATAGGGGAAGATAAGGTAAAAGAGAGATTTTTAGGAGTTAGATTTATCAAAAGATCACTTAAGTAATAAAAATTGTGCAAGAAAGTCACTTTTCTTTATTTTGTAATACAAAAGTCACTAATTTTTTTTTTTACCATGTGTTCATGTCACCTACAAAGTTACTTTTTTTTTCTTTTTTTTTAAAAGAAAAGTCATTCTCTTTTTGTCATTTCACCTAATAAATCACTCTACACTCTGCGATTGCGACTCTGATCCCATAATTTGAATGAGTTGTTGATAAACAGTTGATAAACAGTTTATTAACATACCACTTAGAGCTTTTCTTGAAAGGGCATGCTGAGCTGGCAAAATGGTTTAAAAAATAGTTATCCACCCATATTATTCATTAAAAATGGGTTGGATAATAAATTTTTTAAAAGCGGGTCGAATATGGATATGAACTATATTATCCACTTAGAAAGTGATTAACCAAATGAATAACTAATGTATTTAACTTTTACATTTGTAAAACTTCAAATTGAGAGTTTTTCATGTTTGGGAGACTAGGAATTCTCCCATAAGTGATCACATTCAAGAAGCCATGGATAATATGGATATCTCATATTATCTATCGGATAACCTATTTTTTATCCGTCTCAAACACGGGTTTAGGTCGGATAATTATCCATTTTTGACCCGCCCATATCCGACTTGAACCACCGGTTTGACACCCCGAGGCATGCATAATGAGCTAGTCAATATTGGGCCTCTAATTAGGGGTGGCAACAAGAATCCAAATCTAAATCTAACAGGAGTAAAAAAATTGGACTATGACTCCTTTTGTGTGGACTAGATTGGAAGGGGTTTTGAGTTCCAATTATCTAATTCTAATTATAAAAGTTTCTTTTTTCTTTACTTACAAGCTAAAATTCAAGTCATTAAACGGAACGAAACTAAGTATAGAAAGCCAGGTGCCAACAACAACGAAGAATGCCTCAACCGGAAAAAATGCAATCAATCAAGAATGTCTCAACTAGATAAATTTATTTATTTATTGTTGACATTTCTCTTCTCGATTCGTGAGGATTAATTTCACCGATGGTTATTCAACTATCTTTTAATTTCACTAAAATCACTCAACTATTTTGTGTCATTTAAAAATAACTAAACTTTATCATTGTCACTTAAAAGTCATTTTGACTAAAACCCCTACCATAAATATGACATGCCATAAAATTTAATGAAAAATTCAAAAATAAATGACACATAAGCTTAAATAGACCATACCCACTTTAAATCTATTTCTTCCTTAATGTGATTTGACCCATAACCCAAATGGTTTCGATAAAAAAGATATTAAATTCCATATTAGTTTAAAATGATTATCCTATACTACAAAATTTTTGCATTTTCTGTTACATAATGCCATTCATAATTATTCTATACTAAAAAATTATCTTGTGTGTGTATGCCCCATCAGAGTCGTTTTATAACTCTAATATTAAATTTCACATTAGTTTAAAATGATTATCCTATACTACAAAATTCTTGCCTTTTTTGTTACATAATGCCCATTTATAATTATTCTATACTAAAAAAATTATCTTGTTTGTGTGCCCCATCCGATTCGCTTTATAACTCTACTGAAGTAAAAATACTACTGTATCTAACTCACATAACATATTTATAATTTTCTAGTGAAGTTAAAATAGTATTGTATCCATCTCACATAACATATTAATGTATCATAAGCATACAAGAATAATAAGGCTAATAAGAGTATTTTCACAATGAACATACAATTACACAAAATCTATTGTAATTGTTTAGGCAAAAGAAAGATTGTATAACATATTAATGTATCATAAGCATACAAGAATAATAAGGCTAATAAGAGTCTATTTTCACAATGAACATACAATTACAGACAACCTATTGCAATTGTTTAGACAAAAGAAAGATTTTATCTGTACGATAAAAACCCCATAAAAAAATCACAAGACCTAATTATATTAGGGATGTGCGTTTTCCCCCCTATTGAAATCCATTTGGGTTATGGGTCGAATCACATTAAGAGAGAAATAGATCTAAAGTGGGTATGGTCCATTTAAGCTTACGTGGCATTTAATTTTGGATTTTTTTTCATTAAATTTTATGCCAGGTTATATTTATGGTAAGGGTTTGAGGCAAAATAACTTTTAAGTGACAATGATAAAGTTTAGTTACTTTTAAGTGACAAAAAATAGTTAAGTGACTTTAGTGAAATTAAAAGATAGTTGAATGACCATAAGTGAAATTAACCCGATTCGTGACCCCCTTACCTTAAAAATAAAAAATAAAATCACTCAAAAGCAACTGTACATTCCTATGAATCATGCTGAAGGGCAATCAGAATCAAATTAGATAGCCTTTTTTCGTCTTTTTAACTTTGCCTTGCATCTATTTAAGCTTAAAGAAAAACTTGAAAGACACAAGACAATAAAATGTAATCATGAAGAAGATGATAAAACCCTTCAACAAGCAATGCTTTTCTTGATTTTTCCATTTTGAGAATATTTGAATGAAATTCTTGCATTGCTAAGTAGGGAAAGAATTTTAGTTCTGTCCCTCAACTTTAATCAAACACAACTGTGTTTTCCTCCTCTTTAAAACCAAGCCAAACTTCATATTGTATCCATTATATACAAAATTCTTATATATTTTCCCTTCTTGATCATGGCTGACTCTAATTTTGTTGACAGGGAGAAGCAAAAGCAAGCAGATAATGATATCAAGGACATGATCTCTACTCTAACGAAACGACTGACCAGCCTCCAACGCGTGCACAAGGCAGCATCAGGAGACTCGGATCAGAATCTTCAAGGCGATGATGAAGATGATCATGGCACAAGAATCATCACTCTAGCTGGAACCAATGTTGGAGCCAGCATGCGCGGTGAGATGGATGAGAAACCTGGCCTCGACGGCGTTTCACCAGGGGAGAAAGAGGCTTTAAAAACATATGTGAATAGCAATTTCCAGTCCATCAACAATTCAATCATGTTGGGTGGTAGCTATTGTACTAATGACCCTGGTGTTCATTTGGACATCTCTGATTATGTGGATCAAGAAACCCCAACACCAAAAGGACATGGAAAAAAGAAGGAAAGGGGAAGCTCCAAACATTACCCCCATTCTCAACACTCAGAATAGGCTTGTACAATAATCAAGATAAGCTCAATGGTCAAGAAACTGCTAAAAAATTCAGACCTTTACTCTATATGAATAAAGTACCAGAGCTTAGTTGAGTCTTGTTTTTTTAGTTCTTTGTATTTCCTTCTCTTTTCAACTTGTCTTGTCTGAAGTTTACTGTGTTTACCATTCGGCTTAAAACCTATAGTAAGTGATGCTTGTTTGAGGTTCAATATGCTTATGATATATCAGAAAGGCAAATGTTACATTTCTGTTACTTTAAATAATCATAACATTTTTTCAGATCTTTCTGCTGTGCTACTTCTCATTTTCCTTTGGTAGCACAATAAAGTTATCTCAAGCCATTTTGGGTACATACTTAAAAAGAAACGGGCGGCCCGGTGCACTAAGCTCCCGCTATGCATGGGGTCTGGGAAAGGGCTGGACCATAAGGGCTTACTGTATGCAGTCTTACCCTGCATTGCAGCAAGAGGTTGTTTCCACGGCTAGAACCTGTGATCTCCTGGTCACATGGCAGCAACTTTACCAGTTACACCAAAGCTTCCCTTCTTTGGATACACACTTTATTCTTGCAATTGAAAGTTTTGGCAGGCTCTTTCCTAATTGATTCTTGCACTCATTCCTTGAAGAACAAAAATTTTAATGGTAAAGGTGCAGTTTTTTATTACAAAATCTAAGGTTAACAAAGAAACCTCGGTTCATATGGAATACATATTGAAATACTTCTAGAGAAAGTTGACAAAGTTGACATTAAGGGATCCTGGATTCAGAATTGGTTTCTAAATCTTTAAAGGTTAGCTCCTTGTCCTTTTTCTCTTCAGTTTCATGGACAACTTTTTGCATTTCTCTGTTCTTGCCCCAAAGCAGAAAGTATAGACCGGCAATTACAATAGCTGATCCAATTACACTGATCATGATCGTTTATGAAGGAAATTAGTTAGTCAGTGCTAAGGTGAATATTTGGAAAATGGTTAAAAAAGAATTTAGAAGTTTTTAAACTGTTGAAATCACCTTCCAAGATGTAGTTGTTCGTGTAGAATGGGAACGTCGAACATGGCTGCCATAATTTGGACAAGAGGACTGAATGCTGCAGTGAAGACTGGACCCCTCTTCTTCACACACCATGACATTCCCACATAGCACATTCCTGAACCTATTAATCCCTGGAAAAGTATACTTTTGTTAACTTAGGAAGTTTTAAACTTAAATAATAATGAGATAATTAAGTTTCCATCTTGTGTTTAGAGGCCTCTCCATGATTATGTTCGTCGTTAAATTAAACAACACAGAAGGGCGTTTACTACTTTTTGTCTCGTATGTTCCTTTAACAAACTAAAGGAAAGGACATTATTTGGTTCATAGCAGACTTGGCTTTTCTTTTATCTGTACTTGTCATATTCCCAAATCGACGTTGATTGTCACAAACATTCAGGATGTCTAACGAATCCGTGAAAGTTCTCTTTAAATTCTTAGTATTTCAAGCACATACAGTACTAACTCGATCTGTGGTGCATCAGAACTTTGCAAAAAGGAAAATACAATGAGCGATAAAGAGAGAAATAATTTCCACGTGAGGGACAGGAAAATATCTATATCTGCTACTCCTACTTAGGAAGAAAAAAACCAGCATAGAGAGTACTTACAGCATAGATGATAGTCAACATATCGATCTTTTCCCTTGGAATCCACATGGATAGTCTTCTATCGATAGACAAAGTTAAGATAGCCGATTGTATGGCACTAAAGAAGGTCATGATAACAGTGCTAGAGTACTTGCATGGATATCGATTTCCAATAAAGGATTGAAGAAGGAACCACGATGACCACAAAAACGTCCCAGCAAACAACGCCAGAGAACCAAGAATCCATCTTTCCTTTATTTTCGAGGAACTAATAGCAGCATCCGAGGATGGAGATACATATTGTAGGTCTGAAAAATGAATCAAAGGGATGCCTTTGTAAAAAGTCAGTATGAAGGCACCTCCAACGCATATTAATGTACCAATCAATTTGGCTATTCCACTTCCGTGTTTGATGTTGATAGTCTCTAACCTGCATCACATTCATGCATAATGGAGTTAAACCATTATCGGTAGAATAAGAAAATAGGACAGTCTAAAGCTATTTTTTCATTGACATAAGCAAACTGAGCTTTCGGACCCAAAAGGTAACGCCATAAGGAATGTGATCACAGGAACCATGTTGACAAAAGCACATGAGAAAGTTGCAGATGTGTATTCTATTCCAAGAAGGAATAAGTATTGCGTAAGAGATGCCCTACAACAAAAGATGTAACATATGGTCAAAAATGTTTAGCAAGAAAACATAGCCATGCAAAAGAGCCATTAAACTTAGAAGAATATAGTGAACACTATAGAGATCGTTCAGACTTACCCAACAATAGCACTCAAGAAAAGGTTACACAAGATTTGAGGGGTGAGTTTTGGTCTAGTATTCCTGCAAGAAGAAATTAAAAAGTTGCATTTTCAAAGGAGACAAAGGTTTTCATATATCTGAGATGGAAATTTTTCCAAGAACTGGGAGACAATCTTCATACCTTTCCAGAAAGAAGGCAATTGGGGCTAAAAATATGGTCGAAATGGACTGTCGATAAGTAATGAAGACCAAATGGTTCATTCCATCCAATATAATCTTCTTGAGAAGTATATTACTAATGGCAAAAGCAAAATCAATTGCCAACATAATAAAAATAGGGTACCATTCCACATAGCTCTTCATCTGAGCCTTTTCCCTTTCAATGGACCCTTTAACTTACTTCTCCTGAACTGCCTCTTCTTTGAATTATCATGTGTTTTTAAACCTGAAGCTGAGATAGACATTTAAAGTTTCACATAAACTTTAGTGGAGTGAAAAGTGTATACAGAGAAGGGATTAATTCCTGCAATCACATCAATGCTTTTAATCTACCTAAAAAGTTGACATTTTATTTAACATCATATACTCTATCATTTTCTCCTTTTCTTTGTTTGAAAGACTACACTATTTCCTTCCTTTTGACTGATCCTTTCCAGCATAACAAACTCATTGTGAATTAGTTTCGGGATTAACAAATTCATCGATACCAATGAGCTAAGGGATCAACCTTTGTATCTCCACTCCTAAGCATAAGGGCAGCCTGGTGCACTAAGCTCCCACTATGTGCGGAGTCCGGGGAAGTCCGTACCACAGGGGTCGGTTGTACGAAGTCTTACCCTGTATTGCAAGAGGCTGTTTCCACGGCTCAAACTCATGACCTCCTGGTCACATGGAAGCAACTTTACCAGTTACGACAAGACTCCTATTCTCCACTCCTAAGCATATTAAGAATATTTATCCATTTAATATTCCTTGGCTTATTAACTTGTCTTTAGAACATTTAACATGTGAGTCAACCCACTAATCTAGGCAAACTTTCCATTTTAGTATATAAAAAGTAGTGTGGTGAGCATCTTGTGGATGGGGGTCAAACAGAAATGATTCCCCTTCCTGCAGCATTGTCATCTAATTCATTTTTTCACTCTTTGAGCCTAACTGTTTAGTGTTGATGGCATCTAATGCTGCTTTTAGAAACTTGTATCCAAGCATCTTCAGAGAACAATATGGGGACACAGAATAATTCATCTTATTCATATAAGAATACTATTACTATTCCTTTTTCAATATTCTTTAGTTAGCAGAGCATACTACCTGATATGGGACCAGGTATTTTCCTTGCCATACAAACTCATAGAGGGAAAAGAGGAAAATAGTCTTTAAGTAACCAACTGGCTGAATAAAAACTCGCTTCAAATGACGTTAAAAAGATAGTTAGCATAAGCTTTAATTGCGAAAGATCTACTACAAACTTGTTAAAACTAGTTCAGAAAGCAAATTAAGATTAAGGTCTCCGTACCTTACACCGGTACGTAAGGTAGTGTGTACGCAGACCTTATATAAGGTACGGAGGTAGTTTAGAAGGCAGTGTGTACGTAGACCTTATATAAGGTGCGGAGGTTATTTCTGATAGAGTTTGTTTCTCTACCTTATAAAGGTTGAAAGGTTGTTTCCGACAGACCCTCAGCTCAAGGAATAGCGAACCGGAAGGACTGGAACTATGTAACAATTTCACCTTCGAAAGGTCTATTCCTGCGGACCAAGAAAAGGATTTTCCACATGAAAGAGCTAAAAGGATGGATCAAATCTTAACTTTCTTGTACAGTTTTAAAACATCAAAGAAAGAAATTATCCCACTTGGGTTGCAAGATATGAGGGCCACCACTACAGGGGATAGTTATATTGGCTATAAGTCACAGCAGTGCTTTTTAACCAGTAACATCACATTCTTTTCAATGGAAAGTAAGGGGATGGACAATAGACACTGCTTTCATGTCTGTTATCTTACTCCTTATTCTTTTGTTCCATATCTAAGGTATTGAGCTGGAATCCTTTCTTCTCCTTTAGTAACAGTACGAACCACAGAATTATTTTCTAACAACTGTTCTTTGCATTAGAGGCACGGAACCAGTAAAGTAGAGCGAGAGAACCCTGCGCTTGCCTCTATTGGCATACTGATGTTAAATGTGATGAGATTCTCTATTTCCATTTTTGTTCCATGTCCCAGATATCAGAATTTCTCGATGCTCATATTCAACGTGGTAAAGCATAACCTTTTATACAGAAATCAAATCTCATCAGTACTCTTATTGGCATCTTATAGGCAATTATTTTTCCATCCACACAAGTCTTCTGCAACATGCAACTTATTGAGTAAGCACAAACAGCGAATCATCAAATGCCTCATAATAGAGATTCTTGTTTTTTTAGGTCCATCTATCTGGTAAGAGCTTAACAACTACTCTTGAGGCTTATATTAATTTAGGCATTTTTTCATGGTTTATTAACTGTCCACGTGAAAGCATAACCCGTTCCTAAACCATAAAAAGGAGGAGAATTGCGGCAGGTTAAGCATCAATGTAAAACTAACTATTATGTATCATCTGAATATTAGATATGAATAGACCAGAATGGATGCGGATGATCTATATAGCCTACCCCTACCCATTCTATTATGGGCTTTCCATGCCTAAAAGCACACCAAAATCTTGCAGCTGCAATGGCTCAGATGCCACACAGCTCTATGTGATGTTCAATATAGTTCTGTTTTTATCGGTTTAACCATCCAGTACCTGTAGCCCACTAGCCCGACTAATCTGAATTCGTGTCAGGTTGCTAGCAAAGGAGAGTAAAATGCTTTATACCGATAGGTTTTCCATTTCCATGCCCCAACATGAGACCTCTAGTTAAGAGTAAAAGGATCTCACCCATCGCCCACCACATCCTTTGCTTGTAATGTTCATTATAGTTTCTTCTTGTTGAAACATGTTAATGGGTTTATATGAACATGATCTCGTCAAAATTCACTGTACAAGGTATATTAAAATGTACACAGATATATCAACACACCAATTTTAGCTTTCTTTTAATCGAAAGATGAACTTCAATCCTGCATCAAATGCATTCTTGATGATACATAATACACAAGGCAACAAGGAAACACAATATCCTAACTGTTTTCTAGTGCTACTGCTTAAGGCATCTGCCACAGTGAACCCCAATATCCTTTTCATATCAATCTGCTGACTTTACGAAATCTTTGCTTACAGTTATCTAGTGCTACTACTTGGTGCTTGTGGCATTATGCCACAGCGAACTACTATATCCTTATGCAATGAACTATGCGAGTATGAAGGTTTAACATTATGTCCCCCTTGTGGAAAAAATTTTAATCATTCCCCTCTTTGCATGGATTTGAGAAATCTGAAACAAATAAAGAAGGCGACTGAAAAAAAGTCTTACCCTCTTGGTATTATCCAATTGTCCCACTGGAAAGTAGAAAAGAAAAAGGAAGCTACTTGTAAGGAGTTGAATACTTTTAATGGTGTGAGGTCCTTTGCGGAAATCGTGGGAGCGTAACCCAAAGCAGACAATATCACACCATGTTAAGAATATTTTCGGGTCGTTTTCCAACAAAAACTAAGGTAATGGAGTATATCAGGGTGGGTAAAGAGACCATTATCACTTCAGGTTGACCTCCATCTTGTCCGGTGAAAATGTGGTGTCCAAGATTATAATGTGGTGTACTTCTCTGTGAAGTACCCAAAAGCTAGAGTAAACATATTGAACCAACACACCTGTAGCAATTACAACATATGCTTGAATGTGTCTGTGATGACTGACCAGAAAGGAGAAAAAACGGTATTTCTTTGATTATAATGTTGTCTTTTTCCTATTTACTATTTCCTTTAGATTAATCTTCAGGGCATACACTAACATTAGCCAGAAGCATGATCCAGTGCTATCCTATTTAGAACATTACAGGGAGAGGAACATCTTTTTTGCTGTTTCAAAAGTTCACTTAGCGTTTTGCTTTGTACATACTCCACACAAGACTAATCGACTTCTTGGAAAAACTTGGAGATAACATTGAGTATTAGATGAGGTCTCATTTTGGCATTCTCCACAGTCTATAGTTAGAGCAGAAGAAACTTGATCTTACAGTCCCTTGCATATGTTTCTATAATTATATAATCCCTTTTCATTGAAGATTAGCAAAAAGAATAGCAAAACCTGTAAATAAAGCTCAAGACATATTTGTAGAGTAAACTCTATTCTATTAAAACAATAAGCGAACAGAAAATCATAAACTCCGGATTCAGCTTCCATGCCTCATAATAGCAGTACTATGGGATAAAGGAAGCAACTTGATGGGACATACTACTCTAATGAATAGTTTATTCTCACATTAGATCTTGAACTAACATTAACACTCACCCCTCTCCGCAGTTGGGAAATAAGATTCAGCAACACAAGCACAGGAATATAACAAGTCATTTTAAAACTTAACAGAAAAGGAGATCAAAACCATGAAGCCAAGTGAAATATCCAAAGATAAGCTATCCCATACGTAGCAGGGAAAACAGTGTCAAACTCAGATGAAATTCAAATAGTTATCATAAATCCTCCATCATAAGATAATAATCTCAAATTGCAAATCTATCTTTCTACTGTTGTCTCGCTTCAACTTTCTTCTTCTGCCAGAGGCGATCCAGTGCGCTGTCAGCATCACCCTACGAAGATGAAAAGAACAAAATTGAACTTGTTTAAACTTAAACTATCAGCAACGCCAAAACACAAAGGGAAGCTAAATGGCCTATTCAAATACTAAAAATGAACTTGGATGCAGAAAAGACTGGTTAAAATTGAACATCCCAAGCTTTCTGGATATGAACCAAAACTCCCCCGGCACATAATAATACCTCCATCACATAGAGAAAACAGCAGAAAGATGTGTTATTCTTGATTTTCTGAAGTTTAATTGAGTATTCTAAATCTTTAGGCTTCGTCTCAGGCATATAGTTGAGGTTCTTACTCTGCTTTGGGCATTTTAACTTCTGTAAGCTACTAAAAGGTTACAAAATTTTATATTTCTGTTAATGAAACTAGCTTCAGCATTACACTTTTGGTATGGCTCTCACATCTATTTCTTGGCAGATCGATAACAGAAATAGAAGTGATAAACCAATCTACACTAGACTACTTTTGCACATGGTGACTCTACCCAACTCCCCCCATATTAATTTGCATGGAAACTGCATTTGACCTTTTCTAGGTAGCTCAAAATATTTATAGATGATACGCCCAGATGGTATCACTTATAAGGTATAGATTAACATCAAACCTCCAAAAATTAACAATCTACGCAATATCCCTATTGTACAAGTTCATCAAATGAATTATTAAAACTAAAACCTCTAAGATGTCATGGGAAAACAGACAGCGCCATCAATTTCACCCGCAAACGTTAAACAGGTACTATCAAAGGAAAGAGTACCTGAGCACGGATGAAACCACAGAGAGCAAAAGTGGTGAAACTGCCAGGGATATACAAGCCCTTATCATCCAAATGGCCAACATTAAGTTGAACAGAGGCATGATCCTTTGAAGTGATCACCCTGTTGGTAGCAGAGCTGCAATTGAGGGCACATGTTAGCTATTATTACAACATTCAGACATACAAACACTAAGTAAAATCAATGTGAAACCAAAATAAAAGCAAAGAATTAGGGCATACCATTTCCTGGGGATGTAAAGATCAACGTTTTGTCCCTCTTCGTTCTGCATCTTGGCTAGTGTTTCTGAATACTCCGATCAAGCTTTAACAACCTTTTTTAACCCACAAAACCAAATCAGCATTAAACAAGTTTAATACCTTTCTGGTTTTGACAAATCTAATATCAAACACTTTTTTTCTATTCTACATGATTCAGCTTCTACAAAAATGCACATTCATAAAATAAAATAGCCGTTGACATTAGCATGAACAAAAAATTTCACAACAAAATAGAATCTTTCAGGTTAAAACAGAAAAATCCTCAATTACTGTTCTACAAAATTACAGTATTCAGCTTCAATAACTTAAATCACATTTGTCACATAAAAAGGTCATAGCGATTAACAAGAACACATTTTTCTAAACCCATAAGAATTAGAGTTGTCTATATCCAAAAAGGCAAGAATTCTGTTACCCAAAACGAAACACGTTCAACCCTTCTTCTTTTTTTCTTTTCTTTTTGACCATTTCTATGAGAGAATTTACAGAAGTTAAACTGATGAACAGACCCACGAATCTTGTAGAACTAACATGAGAAAAGAAACGATAAGTATCATACCTGAGATGAAGGGAGAGCTCTTCAAGGGGCAAAGTGTGAAGAAGTGACACAAAGCCACGATTTAAGCAGATGAGAAACCCTAATGTGAGCGTTACCCTAATGGGCTTACTTATTGGGCTTATAGGCCCAATGACCCTGTGGGAGGCCAAGAAAAGAATGATCGAAATCAGAATTGTTAAAAATGAAAATAGTAGGATATAACATAACCAACTGAATAGAACGATTGATATTTCTACTACTAATTATTTATTTATTTATTTATTTATTTATTTATTGTCAATTCTTTATAAAATATTCACCCTGCCCTCACTTGTGATCGAGTACTAAAATTTGAACCCTCACCCTACTTATGCATATGCACTCTTCCTAGAAGTACTTTTTAATTAATTAATATAAATCGAATTAAAATTATCCATTATATATAGTTTTGACGCTGGCAAGTTAGAAATCACTATCTTAAGTCTTGTTGATGTCACACCCCTTTTTTTTTACCTCACTTAACCCTATTAAATAAAAAAAAATTGAAGTTCAAAAAGGGTTTTCAAATTCGAAAGTGACAAAAAATTGTGTTTAAAAGGATTTATTTAGAGTCGTCACCTTGTTTCGGTGTGCCAGGTCACCATTTTTTTTAAAAATGATTTTTCCATTTAAAACACTTTGAACTCTAAAACTAA